ATTCTGGGAGTTGAAGTCCAGATATCTTAAAGTTGCTGAGGTTGAGAAACACTGGTTACGTCTCTGCCCCCTGCAACCCACTCTGATAACTTGCACTGAGTGGAAGTCAGCGCAGTAGATGACGCAGAAGCACTCTGCACATGCCCAATATCTCTCTGCTCTGACATCAGCCCAGCTGGGTAACCCGACAGCCGCCTCCTCCTCCGGCGATACTCGCGAGCTCGCGGCACGAGGACTCCTCTGCAGTTCTCCGCTCACCGTTTTTCCAGGCGGGAGACGAAGAGTCCCTCCGTTCCGCTCCGCTGATTGGTGAAAAAGAGCACGAAGCTCGCCGAACCTTCGCGCGCCCTACTAGCCAGCGACGGGGGAGACCGTTGGCCCTCTGAGGGAAATGCAATGGTAGGGTCCTATAGGGGGCGGACTCTGTCACGCATGCGCACAGTAGGCTACTCCGGGCGGCCACCGCTCCTGCTTTCGTTTGGGAGCGCGGGGCGCCTAGAGGTAGGAAATTTAGAGTTATCCTCAAATGTCCATGAAATTGTTCATTATAATCATCAATCTACCTGTTAGATGTGTCCCGATCCAGTTGCAAAAAGGTTTAAAACTGAGCTTTTTGTTTTGTGGCAAACAAGGAAGAAAGCACTCGGTCTTAGAAAAACCTGAAAGTTTCTCCTCGGAGGTTCCGAGGGACTTATCTCTACGTTACTAACCGAAGGCGAGAGATCCACCTACAGTGTCCATTCTCTATCACTGATTGGCTTGCAGAGATGCCTGTCACATGCCAGCTCCAAACAGAGCTAGCCTTCCGGCTTTCCCTCGACGGTAGCGCTGATCACGTAGGCTTTTCATCAGACGATATTATTCCTTACCCAATAAGAAGAAGAAGGCGCGATTTCCCGCCCACCGCGCTCTTTGATTGGTCGGTTCCTCCAGGAGCAGCTGGGAACATGGTGTAGCAGGTAAAATAAGCGAGCTGGAAAAGCAAACTCGAGCGCGGGGTTGGGGGAAGCCGCTAGAAGTGTGTGAATGCGCACGCACGTGTATCCCCACGCACACGTGTCTGGGTTACAGAGCTCCCTGTTGCGGGCTGAGTGTGTGCTAGGCTTGCCAGTTATAAAAGTGAATAAGCAGCTGATGGAGACGTAAGTGTGTGTGTGTAGAAAAGTCCCGCATTATACCTAAGATTGCCCCCGCCAGTACGGAAAGAGATTGTTGGATAACAGGGAGGGTAAAACCTTGCACGATTCTGATCAGAATCGTTTTTCCTGAGACACTCTAAGGAAGCAAAAGTTGGACTTTGAAGAAGCAGAAGAGGAGGAGCGTTGACACTCTCGGCCTCTGACGTCGGAGAAGACTCCTGAGAAAACCCCGGAGAGCCAAGAAAACAAACAAACGGGCCATGGAGCAAATCAACGCAGAGTTCTCACTCGGGGCAGGAATGACTGGGCTCAAATTATCGTATTTTGGACCCACTGTGTGAAGACCTAGCTCCTCTCCTCCTCAAGTCCATAATGCTGGGACGAATGGAAGGAGAGAGAAGAAGAGGAGGATGGCGTTGATTATAGTGGCAGGGACCGGAGAACCTGAAGGGCCAGACTGGGGACAGATCACCTCGGGGAAGGTCTGTCTGTGGCTGTAGGAGGAGACAGAGATACCGAGGAATAGGAAAGCTGTTAGCAGATAAAAGAAATACTCAATGAACTCTCAGCCTAGGATGTAAGCCCAAGCCTACATTGCCAGAATTCCTGACACGCGAAAGTGAAAGATGCCCTCTTTCAGATACATGCATTCAAAACTGAAAGCCTGGGATGTGGCACCTGGTTAGGGGGATTGAATCTCAACAGCCATATACTGTGGCAGGGCATCCCACAGTATATAAACAGAGAGCAAACCCCATCCCATTCTAGCACTGAAGATGTTACTCAGCCGGGTAATGAAACGTTTGCAAGAAAAGAACCAAGCTCAGAAAACCCCAAGGACTCTGCAGTTCAACCCTGAGCTACACATATTCGCTTCTATTGGAGTCAAGAACAGTGCTACCTCGCTTTATCTCTCTGGTCTTCTTAAAACACACCCCTCGCACCGGCAGACTATAACCCCATAGATACATGCAATACAGACAGGTAATATTTTAAAAATGCTAATAAACAGGAAGTGTCACTACTCAGTCCCCCTGCCTATAACAAACGGGTAATGCTTGTCCTCATTCTCCTTCAAATGTTCTGTTGCCCTATTTTTTTTCCTACAGATCTGGCAGTCCTGTTTTACATACAGAGATGAAGAAAGAACAAGTGTTCAACTGCCAGTTTTCTTCCTGGTATCCTCATTTCAAGAGCCAGACCATCCGCAGGTACCTGAGACAAGTTTGACCTTGAGTTAAATAGGGGCTTATTTCTATAGCATTCTCTGCTGAAACATATCTTATGGAAATTTCTTCCCTATTCTAGATTTCTAATAATTAATATGTATGGTTTCTTTATGCAAGATGGTATCAGCCAGTTTTTAGAGATAGATTAGCAGCTTTGTTCATTCGTTTGTTTAAAATAATATGAAGAAGTGAAGCCTTTCCAGAATTAAGCTGGACACAAGAACCAAAGAGCTCCTCCAGATCTTGCTAACTGGAGCTGAAAAGAGTTGGAATTCAACATCTGAAGGTTCCATGATCTAGTTTAAATTAAGCAACTCCACACTGCTGTTAATGCTCAATGTTGCGCATTTCATACTATACCTTATTTCTTATTGTCTTCTAGTGTTGTGTGATTTCTAAAAATTAAGGGAGTGAGGTTCCTAGAATACATTCCTTGTCTTTGTGAGCAGTTCTAGGTTCCTGTGGGTGCTATCTGCATGAATAAACATCATGGAGATTTCACCAATCATTTATAAAGCTAGGGAGTTTTATGCCAGCCACAGGGTTGATAGAAATTGCTGTTATGTGCATTCTCTTTGTTTGTTCCTGCATGTATAGAAAAGGTAAGGCTATTCATCCAAACAAGGAACATATGTATTGATTTTAGATTTGGTGATGACTAGGAAGCCATTACATGGTTTTTTAAAAGAGTTATTCATCCACAGAGCGTATGGGCCGTAAACCTCTAATATGTTGTTTGGCTCTTTAAAGGTTTAAGAAAATGAAATGTTTGTGTTAAAAAAAGAGTGAGAAACTGTGCTTAATGACTTGATAGTATTTTACTTTTTGAGCTTCTTTACCAATTTCTCCTTCTCACATTTCCAGCCTTTTTTTTTTTCTTGGATTGGAAGGAGAATGTATTAACCATATCAGTGCAGTTAATATAACTTAACTACGCTACCAACAGACATTTGCATAAAGTCTAGAATAGTGATTTCCTTGCTGTGTCTTCAGATTTATGGGCTCTCTAAAGTAATTTCTCTTTTCCATTTTAGTATCATTCTTCCAATACCACAGAATGTAAAAGATTACTTGCTAGATGATGGAACTCTGGTAGTTTCCGGCAGGTGAGAGTATTCACTTAAGGAATTAGATGTATTTTAAAAACAATTGTGTATGGATTTCTGTGATCTTTCTAAAAGCAGAAGCAGCAGCTTTTCTCTTTTCTTTTCAATGATCATTGTGGCTTTAATGTCGGAGGCATCGCTGATCAAATTCTCTGCCTCAATACATCTCTGAGTAAATGGAAGCTGACATAACCCCTGCGTGGTGCAGAGATAAACACTGCATCTTTCTCAAATTTTGGGATGCAAATTTGAATATGCCAGGTGCAAAGGTTTGTAACCCTTTCAGTCAGTACTTAAAGCACCTTCTTTGGCAGGGAGGAACAGCTTCTAAACAGGTGTTTCAGCAGAGCAGCAATTTGAAACATACCTCCAAATCGGCCATGAATTACTTGCAGTACTTACAAATAAAGGTTTTGGAATGGACTTTGCAGTCCCCAGGCCTGAATATTATTGAGAATCTCTTTGGAAATCTAAAACATGCAGTGCATGCAAGAAGACCTAAGTATATTTCTGAGCTAGAAGAATTCTGCAAGGAAGAGTTGAGAAAAAAATTCCAACAGCAAGAATAAAATGATTCTTTGCAGGCTCCAGGAAATATTTGGAAGCTGTTATTTCTGCATTCAGATTTGCAGAAAGATGTCATGTTTAACTGTGTACCATGTAGAGGTTCACTTAGAGATTCAGTGAAATATAGTTTGACCAATTTTAGCATGCAAATGTATTTAGCATTAAACCTGATCTAAACTAGTACTTTTCAAACAAGCCGTTAGCTGTGGCTTCCTAAGACCTATATATATTACTGTAATACGTGTTGTGATTCTGGCTTAGTCATTTTGTATATTTATATAACTGCAAGAACAGGAAGCCTCCAATCCAATTCACTTTTTCTTATTGCAAATCAAAAGGCACAATGCATTAGGGATTAAGAATGGAAGGGATCAGTATTCCTAGTTGCCATGATTACATTTCATTCTGGATATATTGGAAGACTTACATACCCAACTGTTGAAAACACAACATAGATTAAAATTATTTAGTAGTTCCTGCACCCTACTGGATAGATTTAATGGGGGTAGCCTACAAGGAAGAAACTGTAAAGTGACAAATCAATGTCTTAGATGATCTTACCAAGAGTTTTGCAGGTTATTCCTACAGTTACCTGTTTAGCATAAGGTTGAATCATTGGTTTTGTTGGAGAAATACCGTATTTTTCCAACTGTAAGACGATACTTTTTTCTAAAATCCTTATGCTAAAAATTGAAGGGCGTCTTATTCAAGGAAGTAAGCCGAGTAGAGAACCACATGGTTGCAAAATTGCCCATACTTTGTCT